CCTCAGTGTCAATTTACTCTACATCCTGTCAAAGGCTGGTTAGGAAATACCAAGTCAGTGGTAGAGAGCAGAGAGAAGTAGAGTAGTTTAATAACGGATGATATCTTTGAAAAGTTCACAGGAAAGCCGGAGATACAGAAATGTATAGAATGTAGTTATATACTACTGTAAAAGTTCAAAAAGGTTATGAAATCTTTTTTTAAGTTTAGATGTATAGTATTCTTACTTGACACATTTATTAATTATATTTATTATTTAATTTAAAAAATAATATACATCCTTTCATCTTCTATGTACATCCATATACTATATACATATACAAATTGACATAAAAACACACAGCTATGTTTTAGCTAAAGCCCATCATGACATTAACTTCCAGCTCAAATCTTCAGGGTAGTTACACAACAGAGAATAGTAGGGAAATTACTGTAAACACTGTAGAGAGAAAAATGAAATTCAGGGAACATGAACATATGTAGATGCATTTTACAGATTACAGTAGCTTTACTAAAATACTATTATAATAGCAACCACATGGCAGACACTAAAACTCATATTAAATGTATCATTGCACTGCATTTTTTTCAAATAACTTGTGAATTACAGTAAGCATAAAATGACCCTACATGCTGTAAATCTTGCTGCCACTACTGTCATTAAACAGGAAAATGTATTATGTATGTATACATTAGTTTTCTTTTTTCTTTTACACTTTCAAGTTTCTTATTGTTTTCTAGTTTTTAAATATAGGAGGTACGTTTTGTGTGTGGGTGTCACAAAAACAGAACCTTTATAATAAAACAACAATTATGACTCATAGAATAAGGTTAATACAACAATGATGAAATCCATTTATAGTTTTAAATGAAAAATATGTGCTTTTGATCTCTCTTTGGATTCCTGCCAAGGAGAACATTTCCCTCATCATCATCCACAAAAATAAGAAATATGATCACTTACTTTTTAACACTGTTAAACAGGTTTCTATTAGAAAGATATGCTCAGCGTCTTGCCTTTGAAAGACATGAAGTAAAGCCTGGAGCTTGCAGATTTGGACATGAGAAGAAAAAGAAAGGGATCCAGACAGGCATGGACACAGCACAAACACACTGCCACATTAAAGTACATATACAGGGTTTCAGTTCCATTCACAAACAGTTGGACGTAATGGACAAAGTGTAGGACTCCAGAGGGGACAAAGCACACCAGAAAGATACTAAACACCAGTGAGCTGGCCTTGATGTACATTCCCCAGTCAAAGTGTGATCTTGTTAACTCGTTGATGATTCGGGCAAAACACGCAATTGTAACCACTAGCGGAACCATAAGAAATAAGACAATAAGAATCAGGTGATAGTAGAGCAGAAACATGTGAGAGCTGTGATCCAGGGGCAACACATCATGGCAGGTTGTGCGGTTGAGCTGAGGGAGCCAGTAGCTCTGCTGGACGATGAGCTCTGGGATGATGGCGACACCAAACACCCCCCACAGAACCAGGCTCACCCAGGCAGCACACAGCCTCTTGGGCATACTTTTGTACAAGAACGGGTACACCACAGCCAGGTAGCGCTCGATGCTGATGCAAGCCAGCATCATGGCCGAGCAGTAGAGATTGCCGTAGAAACATGCCGTAACAACTCGACAAGCAGTCTCTCCAAGAACCCAGCGGTTTCCATGGAAATGGTAGTGAGCCTTAAAGAAGAGGGAGAGGAGGAGGAAGAGGTCGGAGACAGCCAGGCTGCAGTAGAGGATGGCAGAAGACACCTTTCGGATTTTAGTCACTAGCAAACACAAGATACTGACGTTGGCTGGAATCCCAACTGTAACCACCAACATGTAAATAATGGGAATGACTCGGGTGCTCAGAGAACCACCGAGGTACCGCACTGTGCTGTTGTTGAGCAAGTTCAGAGCTGGAGGGGAATAATTTAGAAAGGAAGCCTGAGTCCCATTTACGAAGGGCTGAATGTTAATGACTGGGGCCCCTTTAAATGCTCTGGGCATGGGAAAAACAACCTCAGAGCTGTTTTTCTGCTCCCTCCGTCTCTTTTGTCCTGCAAAAAACAAAAAACAACAAAAACAACAAAACAATACAAAAATGAAAGTTACTGCAGTTCATTCAAAATATAAATGATTTTCAAATATATTTGTTCCAACATATGTACTGATATATTTTGTTAATAGAAAACCGTTTTCAGTGCCACGCTTGTTTTTTCTGCGCTTGAAAAATCAAAGATGAATATGCATGACAGAAAATACGGAAAGTTTTCAAACTGACAGAGCTGCACAAGGCAATGTTTGGCTAACTATTCAAAACCATTCTATAATAAACCATTCAATGGCAAAATCATGTGTTTTTATATGAATAATGAAACTGTGGCAGTTTAATTTTCAGATTAACTGTCAATTTCCATGAAAAAACACTTAAATCTGCTCTTGAATTTTTATAAAATTCTCTTACTTTTTTTCAGCTGTGTACCGCTTAAACAGAGAGCAAAAACAAGTAAAACAAGTATCTTCCCCATATTTTGTTCCTCTCTCCCTCAAATAGAAATGTACAAATCTACGTTTCTACACATTCCTTGCAGTCGTGCAATTGTTTCAGCAATGCAATGCCAGTTTTCAGACTCACAACATACAGAGGTGATATCAACATCCTTTTACTCAAAATATCTCAAACTGCAGAGATGATATCAACATCCTTTTACTGAAACTGAGACCAATATCAGGAAGCCAAAACATTAACTTGTTCCTTCCATATGATAAGAGCTGTGCTTAACATACTGAAATGTGTGACTGAAAGTATCCATCCATCCTCTTTCGCTCATCCTTGTCAGAGCTACAGGGGGCTGGAGCCTATAATATGTTAGATATGACACATTTATCTGATATGACAAAACAAAAAAGGACAAAAGGTTTATTTACAGCAAACTAATAATCATGACATATTAAAATTTATGCAAAGGAATTTCATGATAAAGTTTATCTATACATGACCTGGTGTTACTAATTGTTCATGGTCTTATTCTTAATTTACCTTCAACGATTTTCATGAAAAGTACTATTTACAAATTGGCCATTGAAGTGAATCAAACCACATAACGTTACAATAAACACATATTACAGTGCTGTGTAGAGGATTCAAGCTCTTTCTTAACATATTTCTTCCAATAGCCAGACTACCTTGTAAATATTTTAAAATGATCTTAATTGATAGTTCTCCAGAGTTTCTTTGGGCGCTGGCTGCTTCTTCACTCATTCCAACTTATAAAAGGGAATGGAGTCCTCTGTACTTGACACTGAGGACAGAATATTGCTTAGGTGCTTGAAATTTTATATAATGGATTATTTCATCCTCTACACAGCTGACAGCTATAACAATAACAGCTGGTTATAAGCTTACATCATGCTGGGAACGTGTCAGTGTTTCCGCATATGAGGTAAAGAAGGGGGGAGGAGTGAAGGAGATGGAGGTCTGGGCTGTTAAGCTTAGGCTGCTCTTCCCACAATTTGGCCCATGGATAAGAGGAAGAAAATGGATGGATGAATGGCCAGGATGTTGAAACTCCCAGAATGGTCTTACTGTAATTTATTTAGTTTTCTTTAACTAGTGTTATAAGAAAACACTGCATTTTTTAAGGATGTAGTGATGCAGGTTAATTAAGTATAAACATACATGTGTGGCTATGCTGTATATTTGGCAGACAGAGTTGTCAGAATGGGAAAAAGCAGTAACTGACTGTAATCCATGAAGGAATGTTTTCACATTGTGTACTGTAGCATTCTTGTATGAGGATGGCTTACATCCCTTTAAGGGTGGAAGCTGAAGTAACGAGCCCATTTTTAAAATGTAAGGAGTAGAAAGTACTTATTTGTGTTTACATGTAAGGGGTAAACATAAAAAAAATTTGAGAAAAAGAAGTACTCAAGTAAAGTACAGATACCCCCAAATTCTAAGTATAACACATTTGTACATTATAACTCCTCAACTCTGACCCTATGGGCGCTGAAAGTTAATTAATCGTAGAATTAGCGGCAATCAAGCTAGCTTGCTAAATTGAGAGCTTATCTTTTATACTTGGCTCTCTCTTCACCACGATGGACCAGCACAGCATCTGCATCACTGCAGCCATGCCCCTAATCCATCTCTCAGTCTCTTGCTCCCTCTCCCCTCATCAGTGACCTTTCATTATTTTTTCTACCAGTAGGTGTATTAGTTTTTAAAGATTTTCTAGAGATTGGACTGCAGACTCTGTGTCTGGTGTAATTAAACAAACAGGACAAAAAAAAAAGTCATAGACAGAGATGCACTTGACAACATCTGGAAGAAGTAACTATTGTTCTTCCCGATGTTGCCATCCTGTGGTGGATGTTTGAAACGTTAGGTAAATGTACCTTACAACCATAAATTAAGAACATTCAAAAGAAAGTAACAAAGAACATGTTTAATGGCACCCTAACATCCCAAGAGAAAACTTTAGTCAAACTCCATTATGAAATTACTGCTTAATGACAGTAATTTCACATTCCTATATTTAGTGCAAAAGAGTTCTTGGGTATGTTGTATGCTATCTAAATCTGGTTTTTGGGCTGGCTAAAATAATATCCATATTTAGATGGGTTCTAGTCAGCTGTACGCAAATAAGATTATTCTGTGTCTGCACTGCTGTATCTTAAAATGCCTTGTCTGCTGTGTCCAGTGGGGTCAGATGGAATATATTATATATATTTTATACCTCAGAAATTAGTACCCCCAACCCAACACATGCACGCTCTTACTTCAGCACCCTCAACTTCAAGTACCTTCCCATGGCTCTGACGTCCAGGGAGTTTTAGCAATATAACACCTTTCACCTATTATCTGAGTTTTACACATTTTGTTGTTCATGTTCATGTTCATTTGCACCATTCATAATTCATTATTGGGTACTGTGCATAGAATTTAAGTTGAAAAATAAATTTAACCCATTTTGGAATAAGGCTGTAACATGACAAAATCTGGAACAAATGAAGTGCTATGACTCCTTTACACATACACTTTAAACGCATCAAGTGCAAGAACCCTCATGCGTTGCA